TCCTGAACAGGCCAAAGTCTGCCCTCCGAAAGTCCATGGTGGTGGTTTTGCTGGCCCACCTCTTAACTTCACCACGAACCGAGAACTCTGTCATTTCATGGTCGCTAAGCCCAAGACAGCTTCCAACCACCACATCTCCCACCAGTCCTTCTCTTAGTAAACAGCAGGTCTAGCGAGGCACCTCCCCTGCTAGGCTCACTTGCCAGCTGCGTCAGGAAGTTATCTTCCACATGCTCCAGGAACCTCCTAGACTGTTTCCTCTCTGCTGTGTTGTATTTCCAGCAGATGTCCCGTAAGTTAAAGTCCCCCACGAGAACAAGGGCTAGCGATTGTGAGACTTCTGCCAGCCTCTTGTAGAAAACTTCATCTGCTTCTTCATCCTGGTTGGGTGGTCTATAACAGACCCCCAGCAGGATGTCTGCCTTGTTGGCTTTCCCCCACATCTTTACCCATAAGCATTCGACCTTGTCATCACAATCATTGAGCTCTATACAATCGAAGCAGTCCCTAACATACAGAGCCATCCCACCGCCTCTCTTTCCTCGCCTATCCCGTCTGAAGAGCTTGTAGCCATCCATCGCAGCACTCCAGTCATGAGAGTCATCCCACTAGGTTTCTGTGATGGCGACCAAGTCATAGCTGTCCTGCTGTGCAATGGGTTTCAGCTCCTCCTGTTTATTGCCCATGCTGCATGCATTGGTGTAGATGCACTTGAGCTGGGCTATCAGTCTCACCCCCGACACTGGCATGCCACGCCTGGGCTCATCTCTAGTGAGCCTGGTTATATCCCCTTCCCCCTTCGAACCTAGTTTAAAGCCCCTCTCAGTGAGCCCTGCCAGGTCGTGGGCAAGAATACTTTTTCCCCTTTGTGACAGCTGGACTCCATCTGTCACCAGCAGGCCTGGTGCCATGTAAACCTCCCCATGATCAAAGAAACCAAAATTCCACCGATGGCACCAGTCTCTGAGCCATTTCAATGCAGATTAATGTTGTGTGCAGCAGAAAGAGAATATTGGCTGGAGTAGGCTTAGTTGTTTCACAGATTCCTGTGAAAAGTCGTGAAACCACCATGAGTTGGTACTGTTTCATTCTTCTGCAGTTTGCAAAAGGGCAGCCTTTCGTTAGGGCAAAGGTGCTGTGCAGCCTGCTGTAGGTGACCCTGCTT